GNGCTGATGTGGTATGGCGACATGAACTGATGTACTTACGTACGAAGTTCTACGTTGCAACTGACTGACTGACTGACTGAACTGCCTGAGGAACCAAATAAAAGTAGGACAGAGGTGGAATCAAAGTATGTCCAATCTAGGGTGATTTTAGGGCCTGCTGATTGGTGCACTCTTAGTCAATCAGCGCTGACAGATAGCTGAAGGTTTGATAGTATTCTTGTGTACAAATCATACATGTGCTAACGTTTTGATGACTATGATTCGTTCCTATTCGACTTAGTTTGTCAGGATATTATAATTACATCACAATAAAATTATTTAATTTGGATTGCTATTTTTAAATAACATATTTATTTTGCTTTGACTTGATCAGTTGATTAGTCTTTTTTCACTTACTACTGGATAGATGTAATTCATTAACGTTGACATTAGATCAAACAAATTAATTACAATCATTGTTTTAATTCTCATTCAGCAGTTAAACAATAATTTGGGCAAATTTAAACCAGAGATGGATCAACTGAAATCGATTTAACCAAACCAATAAACTTAAGCATCCGTTATAAAATAATAAAATCTTTACCGTTTAATTGATTAGAAAAGCAGGTAAATGGGTAAATGTAGAATCTAATTTTCCATAACTCACCAATGATACGTGCCTTTTTTTCATCTGGTGAAAGGTTGAAAACATCATCTTGTTCTCCAGCATCATCAAAAAAATACGTTTCCACATCGAGTACTAATTTTTCGACAAAAGGAACTTTATAAATTGTTCTAGTATATGGATACGCATTCCATGCCTCTTCTTCAACACGTAAAGCCGATGATGGTAATATATTACGAAGCCAAGCTGAAGTTTAAATTATAACAAAACAGTTAACCTATATTGAATTCGAATGGCACTTGTCAGTATTATCTGTTACATCAACTCTCTGAGCAAGACGGATGGCTTCAACAGTGGGTGTTGTCAATAACTCATAGTCATGGCAAAAACTGACACATTTACGTCAGCTCAAGTTGGCACATACCTCATCAGTATAATGAGTGGTGAAATAAACAAGATGGAAAGTCAAGAAGGAAATACTACCAACTGTAAAAGTCTAAACAATTCAAAATTAATGAAAAAAGATTAAAGAGTGGAAGATTAGTAATTGCACTTAAATTAAGATTAAGTAGACAAAACAAGTGCAACTTTTTTCATTTTGACCGAATTCCTCCTACTACCATATCAACCATCACCTTCAACTATCTGTAGTGAGTATTGTCTGAGTCTTATCTAGGAAGTCTGTACCGTTTAACATCGCTTATAAATAGGTTTCACGCTTTGATCTACTAGTCTCCAAACTCTACACAAATCAGCAAGATGATGGTTAGTTATGAATGACACATGTTTAAGCAAATTCACTCAAGTAGAAGATGATGCAACTAACGATCAAATTGTACATTTTACACAGTATGTCATCCAACAACTTAACCAGGTAAGTGAAAAGGTTAATTATATTGAATAACTGCATGAACAAACCTTTTATGTCAGGGAATCAACATGATTTTACCAAAAACCTCCCACATATATACATGCAAAATTCGGGCATACATAAATGTATACTGCTTTCTGAATACTAAGTATCAATCCGAATTCCGATAAAACTTGCAAACTAGAATAATATAAAACATGGAATGGTAATACTTGAGGTTAAGGTGTTTAATAAGTAACCTATAGAAAATCCCCAGGTATTTTTCTATTCAAACAGTTCAGAAAGATACAACTTACTTGGTAAATGGCTGCCCACATGATAAATTTTAAATGTATATTGACCTTTTCCTCCTGGACCATTCTCATAGGGTTCATTTTTCAATATTTCAACACCACTTCCACGACCTGTACTTTCTTCACGTGATTTTTTCTATGTCAAATGTAAAGATATACAAATCACTAACTAATCTGTCACACCAAACACATTTTATTTTTGTTATTGCAGAAGAAATATCTTACCGCTCATGAAAGCAATAGAAATAAATATCTCTAGTAACAGCTGTTCGATTAATGCATCACAGTGTTATATATTCACGTAGTCAGTGTATCTAAGGAAAACTACCTTTTTTGAGATATAAATGGTAGAAGAGTACTTTGATCAAATGATTAGCAGCTATAGTATCAAATTTATTTCATTATGTGGTTGTATTACTGAACTCTTAATGAAATGAATTGATGCCTCATAAAAGTGCCCTTAATAATGACATGAGATCTCATTTATAGAGGAGGGCTTCTAGCTTGAATATTTGTTGATTCAGTTATTTGATTACACTTTCAGAATCTAGTTTTAGTATCAAAAATTAGCGTACCTTAGCCTTCGCAAAAACCCATCTGCTTTCTCCGTATTTTTATTATATCTTTCGACGACCACTTTTTGGTAATTGATAGAAGCATCTTGAGCAGTCGTACAAACAAAATACCGAACTTTCTCAATGGCAAAATAAACCCTACTGTATAAAAACCTTATTCCAAACTGGAGGCCGGAGCTCAGTAGTTGAAACATTGAGAAGCGATGGCTATGTGGCAAGATGACTTGGATTCCGATTATTCGGTAGTAAGCTCAAGCCATGCTCCATCTAGTAACAGTAACTCCTACTTCATGAGTGGAATTATTCGACTAGTTAGACATACTTTTATACTTTCCTTTTGGCATGTACATCAGTCAACTTATTTATCTCTAAACAGTCTACTAAAGGTCTTAAAGAAATTTGTATGTTGTGAAACCTGGATAACTCAATCGTTGTTAATAACAGTGCAAAAGTACATAGTACAGAAGTGTGCTATAACTTTACACAAGATCATAGGTCATTTTATAAGTTATAATACGAAGTGTTGCCTGTATTGATTTAAAACTAAAGGATACAGATCGTAAAAATGGTTTTTGCATATGATGTATCAGTACAAATTTAATGATCAACTGTGTTCAATAAACATAAACAATAAAAAAAATTGGCACTAAATACCAGTTAAAGATAGAAAATTACAAATAAAACCAAGTTAGTATGGTAAAATCAACCTTGTATTGTTTTTACACAAATCTAGGCGACTTAATGAAGGATATAAAAGCAAAGTTTCATCAACAAATGAGTAGATGTCTTTGTGATTCCATCATATCACTTGATTTGTAGAATGTCATCATCATCAACAGCAACGTAGAACCTTGTACGTAAGTACAGCAGTTCAAGTTGCCATACCACATTAGCACAGAGACATAAAAAAGATATATAAAAGTAGTAGAGGTAGTAAAAGTATTAGTAGTAATCGGAGAGATTAGGGTTCGAAGATGTTATTCAAGAAGTATAATTCAGTGAGTTAAATTTAGGAAGAAGAAGATAGAGATGATGAGGAATTCAGAAGGTTAGAAATTCATAGAACACACCAGCGCCATTGCAAACGGTTTTGAGCCATGTCACTCAGGGTCTCTAACCATCGATTATTATCATTTCGCAGACCCCAGTCAGGTAGCCTATTTGTAGAATGTCACGTAACAGTACTCATTGGGAGACTAATCATACACCTGTAATTTCCTCTGTGACAGGATTAGAAACCCAACAACCAGAAAAATGTCAGCAACAAAAACAATTGAAAGTTTACCTGAATCATATACAGCTGAGCTATCCTGTATTCAGAAACTGTTAGGGGCATACATATGCGATACTCTTTGAGGAGCATAGTTTCATGCTGAAGAATGAAAACATTTAGATCATTTTTTACAAAACAAAAAGCACATCCTTAGTGTATTTAGTGCAGTACGTGTAGGTGAATATATATTATTACATTAACATGGTACACTTTATCAGTCTAATAGCTTGCAGGACAGTGGTGCATGTACAACATCTAATATGCTAATCTAAGCTGTAGTTGACACAGAACATGGACTAATTCCTAAGAAAATAATACAGTTCAACTGTTGAATTTGAAATGAGCTTTAGGCCAATTTATATTAGAATAACATTTGTGTAGCAGGGCTACATCAAACAAAGGGGTTGAAAGCGATGATTCCACAACTTATACTTATTTATTTATTTTAAAACGCAAATATTTGTACAAGCAGGCACCAAAGTATTTTTGTATCACCCAATAAGAATGAAATTGTAAAGCGAGAAAAAGAACAGTGAGTAGAACAAGAAAATTGATAGAAATTAGTGAATGAATGGAATAATCGTAGCAATAGTGTAAAAACAGTCCAGTTAAGGAAAATACAATCAGAAAGAATCCTTCTAGTTAGAGATGCTATTTTTAATTAAGTGAAGAAAATTAAATAAAGTTACAACATAAATGCTACTGGATTCTATTTCGAGCCACGTCTATTAACGTCTTAAGCCACTGACTCACAGACAAACACCACAAAGGCGCCAAAGATAGTCCAGATTGCCATAAGCCCCTCAGTATACGTGAATTGGTTGCATCAATCACACCATGATCAGTAATTACACAACTACACAGGCACATGAACTTTTCCATTACTTCTCTCTGCTTACTACCAATAGTGAGTGCAGGTCTAGTATCCTGTCAGCCTTTTAAAAATAATTTGTACTTGGAAGGTGTAGAACACATGTCATATCTATGAACACTAATTGCCAACTGATCAAGTGTGGATTACATGGTTTGGGAATCTTCTCACAATAAGATTATATTATCAGCATACTCAAGACCGAGAGGTCTTTCTCAAGGTAACAAGTCTACACCACCATCACTTAAATCCATCAGAACTGTTTCCACAACGCCACTAATGGCAAAATTGAACAGGAAACGCTGAGATTGGGTAACTATACCTAACCCGATTGCTTGAATGAAAAAATGGAGATGGTTGATTATATGCCCTTACTCTGTCTGAGTTGCTTTTTAAAGGGCCTTTACGATGGTAATAAGCTTTTCAGGCACACCCTTCTTCAATATAAAATACCAGAAAAGTTTTGTCAAAGGCTACCATGATGTCACGAAACATAACGGTTGTTGGCATGCAATAAGTGTAGCGATTTTCCAATATTTCGCAGAGGGTGAAGATATTATCATTATGGTTAACAATTTGGACACAATCTGTAGACGTATCCCCCGACAGTTGTTATATAAATGACGTGAACCTTTTTAAGGATAAGGACAACCATCGACTTATTTCATGATGTTGGAATACTCTCTAATCGCTGAACAGTTGTAAACAACTCAGTATCACTGTCAGGTTGTCAATATCGTTAAAACGTAACTGTATATCTAAGAACTAAATAAATTCCCTCAGGTAGATGCTACAAAATAATTAATCGAACGTTGATAAATAAACGATTTCAAATTTTAAGCAAACTGAGGAATCGACAACAAGAAACATAGTATTCGCGATGGAAGAAAGAATAGGGTCAAATAGTTGGAAGTGATATAAGTTCACTAAAAGGACCGAGATTTCCAGTCATCCTAACCAGTGATGGGAGAAAGCTAACGATAAGTCAGTAACTTATCCAACCGCAGTGAATTGAACCGATAACCACTGATTGGTTAGCTTAGTCGCGGAAGATAAATTCACACATTTTTCTTTATGGTTATACGTAATAAACTAACCCTATGGTAGTTCACGTTAACCAACCAAACTTTAGACGAATCTAGATCTCAAGCAGTCAGACTCAGAACACTATAGTGTATACACTGCTGGAATAGTGGAAAACGAACCGCCAATTTTTAAACTTTTACGGTGCTCGTAAAAACATAAAGTGAAATGATCCAGGTAGTTAGGCGTATAGTACATGTGTCAACTTAACATTTTACTAAACGGCGACCGCTTAAATAAGCCAGAGTCATTACTAAATGTGTACCTACTGGTAGACTCATTTAGGACATAAGATTGGTTGAAATATACCTTAAGTGATAGTTACACTGAAGACAGAACTATGAATTTGGGGCTAGATGACTAGTGATGACTTTCATTGCAGATGAATCACTTAGACGAGACTTTGATCATAAGATGAATAAAAGATCAGATCTGTACACATACATAGATTCTGGGAAAAATCAACTGCTGGGTTACAATTTTCAGTGGTTTAAGGGAGGTAGTACTGCCCAAATAAAAATATAATAATTGATCTGCTACATCTCGATGAATAGTGAGCCCATATTTACGTCTCTCAATTTATATGAAAGAAATTGTTAGTGTCTAAGGAGTTGACGTGTCGTATAAACTGACACCCAGAATCATGCCTTCCCCGGTTATATTTTCTAGTTTATCCAGCACAGTCTGTTAAATGATCACATAGTTAGAGGATATTCGAACATAAACAAGACAAACTGTGCAAAAAAAAGGCTAATTGAAATCGATGCAGTATTTCTTACAACTTTTATGAAAATAAATGGCACTCAGAGAGAACAAATCTCCGTTGCATCATTTGAAATGCATCTCCGACGTCATCTCTAGACTTTGTGTGGCATTTTCTATTTTTGATGCCTAATCATACTAAGTTTTATGTTCATCGAATAAAGGCTAATCAAATATACCAACAGAATAAAGCATGATATTGTCAAGCACTCACTAGTTGTAAGCGTAGAAGTACTAAAAATTAGTAACTGATATTAAAAGCAAAACCAGAGTTGCACAAAAATAGCATATTTTTTAAAATTAGTTGACCTCTACTATGCATCGATTTTATCAGGAGATTTTATCAAGTGATATCAAAACACTACCCAATAGACTCCAATCCGCCCGTAAGCTATAAAAACAATGTGATTTTCCCTGACGTTTTTTCAAAGTTTTATAACACTTAAAAGAGAAGATTGTGTTTTTCTGTGTCATTTTCGACACATCTTGGATACTTGATAAAAGTATATATACAAAAATGATGATTAGACTGTATTGATAGTTGCCACTCGCGATATACTATATAAATCTATGTTATCTCACACCAAAACATTCCGTTAAAAAATTGCGAGTGTAACATACAGCTACAAACCCACCGAAACAAACAGATGAACGAAAACTGTAATAAAGCGTCTTAAATGAGCGCTTAATTTGCGCTATCCAATGTCCAATAACATTATCCAATATCTCTTCCACTTAGTAGTGTTTATCAAATGAATTCTTCGCCCTCCGTTCTTGTTATTTCGGTGAGTTTTCGGGTACTTGTTAATGTCCGATTGATAGCAGTCTAGCCACTCGATTGGACTAATTCCAGATTGGCATGGGTGCGTTCGTCTAAGGGCAATAGAGTTTCCGTATACCAGCAGCTATCAGTCGTTTGTAACGTGGAGAATATTTTTTCAATGCTAGCGTTATGATATAAAAATTCGTTTAACCTCATACCACCTAAAAGCTGTTGTCTCCAGGTAAAAGTGCAATAATCGGTATTGAAAAACATCTCATGGTTCTTTTGAAATGCTTTCATCTCAGCCGAATAAAACAGATATTAGAAATGTGATTATTTAAAGTAGGGAGGTTGTCAACGCCCCTCTGATACAAGGAAGTCTTGAAGGCCGTAAAGTACTTGTTCATAGATGAGTTTTCAAATCGAATTTCATAGTCCTTATTTTGTAGATGAAATTGATATTCTTTTTATTTCCTCTCTGGAGAACCGTTTCAAACATGCAAGGAAGTTGGCGACATATCCGAAAAAGCTTTTTAGCATGAAAAAACATCTCAAACAATTCGTCCAGTAACTTCATATCAAATCTTTGCTCTTTCCAATTATCGACCAACTTTTGTATGCGGACGATCGTTTCTGAAGTCGGTTATATCATTTAAATATGTGGAGTATAGAAGGATATTATTATTAAATTCAGTCCACTAACGTACAAGTTTCTTCCTTGATTGGCTCCTCACCTATTTTATTAACAGACCAAAAGTTACCATAGTATTCTCTTTTTAAACTTGCAATTATTCAATCTTTATATGGGGAATCTTTTTCCTCGAACTCTTTCCATTCGTTCTACTGAATATTAATTCAGAGGGAACCTACCGACGCTGTAGCCCCCAACTTCAGATTGCGAACGAACTGTGATTTTATTGACTACTTACTATAGCCAAAATAGAACCGATAGATAAATAAATGATACCGAGAGATAGTAGAGTTGTATCTGTGTAGTTCTCACACTTGCTCAACTCTCTTTTATTTTGTATCTTGATTAGGTGTCCCTCTTTACAGTTTGTTGGTACTTGTTCTTCCTCATAAATCTTGCTGAACAGGGTGTGGAACATCTTTGTTGTTACTCTACGTCTGCTTTTAGTGCCTCTGGTGGAATGTAGTCTGGTCCAGCTGATTTACCCTCCTTTATTTATCTGATAGTTATGCTGATTTCTTCAAATGTTGATGAGTGAACATCATTTGTGAGGTCTGTGTTTGATGCTTTCATTTTGAATAAGTTTATTGGAACTGATCAATTCAGTAGTTCATCAAAATGCTCTACCAACCTGTACATCTGTTCCTCAGTGTCAATGATATTTTGAAGTGACTGCATCCTTGATCCAATTTCTGTTATTCCCGCAGTAGATTCATCATCACCAAATAGATTAGACATGCCTGCAACATGTTGCTGAGAAGTAGTTTGAATTCACAGACTTTTCCAGTATTCTGAAGAAACGGCGTATTAAAATTTGCGATTGCTTTCCAACACTCATCCTGTATTTCTTGAGTTTCAACTTCATGTTGCCTCCGCTAAGTGGATGATCAAAGCTATAATGTAGAACTCCGTACATAAGTACATACCCCATCAGCACAGAGACGAAACTGTCAGTGCAAATCCACTAGTGACAGCGATAATAGAAGAATAAGAGGCAATGGAGAATATTAAGGATCAAAGATATTATTCAAGAAGTATAGTTCAGTTAGATAACTTTAGAAAGAAAAAGATAGAGATGATGAGGAATTCTAAAGATTAGAATCTAAGAGAACACAAAAGATGGATGCACCTGCACCATTGCAAACGGTTTTGAACCATGTTTTTCAAGGTCTCCAGCCGTCGGTTAGTATCATCTTGAGGACGCAACCATTTAGCTTGCTCCTGCCAACATGGCTCAGTTCACTTTCCAGTGACTTCATACATTTCTGCCAGGTTTTGGTCTGGCCGCCCTAGCTTTCTTCCAATCTACTCATACACTACAAAACATCGCTTGTAGAGGCAGTTGGTAGTTAGGCATTCGTAAACACCTCAACTGATGAAGTTTCACTACTTCATCAATTGATCTGCCATCCATACCTAAGACTCCTTTCCTAAATATAGCATTGCTTAACCGGCTGTCCAAGGATATATGAGCAATGCTTCAAAGATATCTATAATCGAATACTAATAATCTACGAATATCCTCAACTCTTACCGGCCATGTTTCGCATCCATATAGTAGGATAGATCCAATTGCTGAGCATTACGCTTATGACACAGGATGGCTAAAGCCAATTGAGCCTTCAGCATCCGTGCTGAGATTTCGTCAGTCACCAGGCCATTAACACTGATGAGACTACGCAGATAAGTGAAGTAGTCAACACGCTCAACAACTTCACTCCTTGTAAAAGGATTTCGAGGGTGACCGTTCCAATGGGTTGCAATAGGTGCACTCCTGAACTCGTTTCTCCCAGTCCCAGGTCCAAATAAAGCAAAAATTCTAGGAGAAAGCGGTCTTATTTAATAAAAACATGGAAATACAAAGCATTACCTGGAATTAATGCTCCTTCCAGGTTACAATTACTCCGAAGAGTATCCAACAAGGATGAGTAAGTGGCGTTAAGTCCAACTGCAACCGGATCAATCCAAATATGGCTGTAGCCATATTAAAGGTCAAATTTAAACAACATATATACAATCAGAAGCAAACACCAAAACTTCAATATAAGTACAAAATATAGAAATAATAACAATATACAATGATAAAATCTCAAATTGGAATCAAATAAAATACCAAAAATGTCAACAGAAAAAGTCCGTCACGTCATAGCAAAAATATGTAAACATGGAGGGATTTTCCAAAAACACAAAACATTCAAAAAGATTCTACACTCCCTATCATGAGTTTAGATTACAATGCTACTCAATCTTGAAGCAATATTTCTCATTTCGAGTGGCAAAATCGCATCCCGAATAATCTTGAATTGTTGCTTAATGTATTCTGAAGACTTCGTATTTCGTCAACGTCTTCACCGAGTTGGACGACCTCATCAGCGTATTTTAAGTCAATAAGCGTGTCTCCTGGCAGAAGGTCCAGTCCCGAAAAATTAGATGAAGACAGTGGTAAATCGGCAAGCCAATCTACGACTAAGTTAAACAGGAATGGGGAGAGTGGACAACCCTGACGAATACTACTTGAAGTAGAGAATTCCGATGACAGTTCGCTCTAACTCGATCTGTAATGTTCGTGTAGAGAATTTGTATGAGGTGAATGAACTTCTTTTGTACACCTTTTAACAACAGATACAGATAGACGGCCGCTTTAAGCTCGAGAAATACTAATATTGTGGGGCGTCTGAAAGTGTGTCTTTGTTCTGTAACCTGTCGTATTATAAAAACGTAGTCTATACAGCCTCGTCCAGGTCTAAATACAGCTTATATACTCTGGTCTGCTTTTCACGAGCTCTGGTTAGGCTATAGAGAATTACCTAGGTCAATATTTTAGATACTTTACTAGTTGACTTGATTCACCTGTGATTGTCAAAAGAGGACTTTTGTCCTTTCTCGGAGACTGGGACAATCAGTGATTGAGACCAGTCAGTTGGGACAACGTCCAGTGCCCGGATTCTACCTAAGATCTCGGTCAATCCAACTGTTAAAACCAGCCCACCATCCTTAAAAATCTTAGTAGTATGCTTATAATGCTCTAGTGAACTTCCTCGCTCTGGATTTCCTTTAGCTTTGTCATCTGCATAAAGCCTAGGACTTAAATCGGTTTGCTACTCAGGATGACTGGAGATCAAGAGCAACAGAAATGAGGCTGAAGTCCAGTTGAATTGATCACTAAAGTATTGTGCCTATTGATCGAATCTCTTGGATTGAGAACGAATGAAATGGCTATCCTTTTCCGAGATAGTTTCTCTGACTGATGGATTCCTGGTACAGATTTCGTTGATAATCCGGAACAGTTGTCTACCATTACCCATCGTCGGTGCCCTTCTATTTACCCTGCTTTCGCTACCCACCATTGTTCGCGAACATTGCATAGACATTTTGTCGTTTCGCGCTTAAGCTGACTTTGCTCTTCTTCATGTTCGGAACCCAGTGAGATGAGCGAGCATCTATCAGTTCGGCAGATGCCACTGAGATCGACGGCTTCTCCCTAACCCTGCGGTTTATCTTACTAGCGGATATTACTGCTGTTTCCACAGCCAACCCCATGTCCAACCTTTCTCCTTTATTTGCGCTTTGCACGGGTAGTAACCACAAATGGGCTTCATGGGGAGTTGTCTGTATCCATCGTATGAGTTTTGACAATACATACCAAACAAATGAATCACTAGATTAAAATAAGTGAGAACACTTCGTGCAGAAGCATCAGCGTCCTTAGCAACGGGAATAAAAGAAGGATACATCGAATCAGCCAATAAAGTTGCTTGGAGGAGATTCCTGCCGGGAAGGTAGGCGGGAATACTGTTTACTTCGGGTTTTACGTGAGAAGCAAGTTAAGAGTTTGTATTTTATTCGAAATGACAGACTGGATCACTCGACGGAAGTGTCATTTGGACAATGTTGCGAAAGTTATATACAGTGTGATCTTTTTCGCGATATTTTGATGATTGTAAAACCTGTAGCTTGGGTTATGGTTACTTGCCATATTGTTAACTTCGAGAGGACTTATCATATGTATTTAGTCCTTATAACACTTCATATACTTTGATGAGTGAGTTAGTAGGGTATGGTGTGACATCATGTTGCTCATACTCAAGTACTCTGTCGTGTATAAAGCCTTGATAGGATATATAACGGTCTTTGTCTTCTGTTTCCAACGGGAATCCTTATTTTATTTAAAGGATTATTGTCTACTGACTCTTTTCAATTTCGAAGTTAAAACACAATAATTCTAGAGGGAAATGGTCTATTTTACAAATTACAAATGGAAATACAAATAATACCTAACTAGTGTTACGTCTTCCAATTCAGAATTACTCCAAACGAGTATCAATGTTCCGAGGTTTAGGTGAACTCCTGTACTGCCCGATGATAAATCGAAAAATGTGGCGGTAGCCATATTATATCAAATTTAAACAACATATGTACAGTTCAGAAGTAAACACAAAAACTTCAATATAAGTACAAAATATAGAAATAATAACAATATACAATGATAAAATCTCAAATTGGAATCAAATAAAATACCAAAAATGTCAACAGAAAAAGTCCGTCATGTCATAGCAAAAATATGTAAACATGGAGGGATTTTCCAAAAAACAAAACATTCAAAAAGGATTCTACACAACCTTCTATCATTTCTATATTCACATTATGCAAAGGTGTTTGAAACTTATAGTCTCCGGTTTGTTGTTCTCCGTAAGATGACATTTCTCTCTTGTACGTTTAGTCTTCTTAAAGGACGGCGGAATTTAGACAGCAGCGAAAATGTCTATTTATTTCACTTTATATAAAGCTAGGGACCTGGCAGTCGACATCCAGCACATCATATGCATAAAGGTAAGTATCGCACAGATTAGTGTGAGGCTCGCGGTGAGGGAAATTGTAAAAAGATATGACTCTTTTATTTGCTTCTATTGAAATAGTGGTTTTGATACTTTCCTTGTATCTGAAGAAATAACACGTTATTCGTGCTTTCAAAGTAGGAAAGTAGCGATAACTGGAAAACTACACATATCATCCCCACTATAAAATCGGGGCCTACAGCGAACGTTGAAAATTACCGACCTATAAACATAACCTCAGTAGTATCTCGGGTTATGGAGAAAATAGTTAAGGCAGAGTTACTACAACATCTACTTAGTAACAATCTGATATCGACCTCACAGCATGGGTTCTTGAGGTCCAGATCGTGTGATACATGTCTGTTAGATTATTTCAACAATATCACACATGAACAAGACAAAGGACTTCTGGTATCAGTCCTTTTCTTCGATTTTAAAAAAGCTTTCGATAAAGTCCCACACAAAAGGCTTCTACTTAAACTGAAGTCATTCGGAATCATCAACCCACTGCACTCATGGTTAGCTTCATTCCTAAATGGACGACAACAAATGATAAAGTACAATGACTGTCTTTCATCGCCAAGACCAATAACCAGTGGGGTTATCCAGGGAAGTGTCTTAGGTCCACTCTTGTTTCTAATGTACATTAATGACATATGTAATACTATAAAATTTGGAAGAGCATACTTATATGCTGATGATCTGAAAATAGTATACAGCTATAAGCCTGAAGATCTGGACGAAAATATAGCTAAGATTCAGAGTGATCTTGATAACTTAAGTACCTGGAGCGAGACATGGCAACTGCCGTTTAACCACAACAAATGTGGCATAATGCATTTTGGCAAGCATCACCTTGATTCACCAGTCTACTTACAAAAATGTAGGGTTCAGACACTCATATCAGCGCGTGACCTTGGTATTAGTTACTCTAAAAGCCTAAAATTCGAAGAACATGCCTCAAATATTATCTCTAAATCTAGACGACTCATTGGGTTTATAAACAAGAACTTCTTGACAAATGAGGCTAAGCTTACTCTCTTCAAAATCTGTATAAGGCCCACACTTGAATATTGTTCACTCATATTTTCAAACATGAATATCATGGACAAAATGCGAGTAGAAAATGTACAAAGAAGCTTCACCCGGCGACTACTCGGATTGAGCAATAACCTCGACTACACAGAAAGATGCAAGCATCTTTCCCTAGAACCTCTATGGCGCCGTCGTCTCAAAAACAACCTAATGCTCCTCTATAAACTAATAAATGGTCTTTCGTTCGTAAAATACCGCCCAAATATGAACCAAGACACTGCTTACAGACTTAGAAACAACGCATATACACTATTAACGGCAAAACACAAAAAATCATTGCGTTCTAATTTCTTTGTAATACGATACAGTCTACTGTGGAACAGGTTACCAATCGCTATTCGTATCTGTGACACAATCACTAAGTTCAAGAAACTAGTTATGCTGTTGCTAGATTCTAAAGAGATTTATCGACTATTCCCAGAACTCACACAAAGTCCCCAGGCACTCTTTTATGGTCCACCAAATATTTAGATAAACCTCAGAAACTAATTATAGACTATGACCATATTGTGTTCTCATTACCACCCATACATGTATCATGAAATGGTAGACAAATCCCCCTGCTCCTACTAACAGCAATAGGTTACGCCTTTGAGGTGTTAACCGTGACTTTTCTCTGCTTTTAAATTCCAATCATTATTTTCATATCTTCATAGCAGTTTTAGTTTTTATTTCTAGTAGACAGACAAATTGACAAGCCTGTAGATGCTGATCAACTACTGTCAATTACAAGGAACTCAAACACCATGTATAATTGTGAGTATCTTCTTATTTACGTATTAACAGTTTAACTAATTTTTATTTCCCCAATTCATTAACATCCAAACACCTTGCCTGCTTACCAACTTATCGCTTTACTCATTAATTTTTAACATTATTTCAACTCTTTTTTTCTCCTTCTCCTCGTTCCAGCTCCCTGTCCTTCCTATTTCCAAACTACCTATTGACTGACTCATCTTACAAGTCATACCATTAGTTTACTTAAAATCAGTGTGATATGCTTCGTGGATATTCTGTCTGGTGAAGTTATCTGGATGGCTTGTAATATGGAGCTAGTAGAGAAAGTGAATTCCGATAAGGTTTACAAAAAAAATTAGAGTAGACTAGAGACCATTATTTACAATCAACCATTAAACGTAAGAGAGCCTAACATCACAAAAGGAGGGAGGGTGGAGTTTCTGACCAGCATTCATGACGGTGGGGCGATAACCTCAATCTACCCATGTCTGTGTGGCAGAACATTTTGTTTGCTTACGGCTCCTTACGATATGGCAGGATGTAACAAATCAGTGATATTGATGTTACTTTTCCTTGTTAACCTCGTCTACAACCCCTGTCTGTAACCTTGCACTGGTTTTTACTTCCTACCGAGAAATCCTATTACAAGCTGGTCTGGATAACTATACTAAAAAAGAGCTCATTCATAATTTCTTGAGCTGCAGAGTTAAAAATAAAAAGAATATATAAAACAAAAAATTATATCACTGAGCCTCTTTATTATATTTTGTAAATCAACATTATTACTAACAACTTGGTACTTCTGAATTTCCTCTATTCTTTCGACAAACTTCCCAATAGTTATCTCACCAATAATTTGTCTTCATTAACCTACATAAGTGCAGGTGTACAGTAATGACATTAAAAAAGTCTGAGTAAACATACCTTTGTTTTATCTATAAACGTATTTTCTGTTCCGCTCCTCGTCCCGTCTTCTTTATTCCTCTTTTTTCAGAACCTTATTCCACTCCTCATATATTAGTCTGGATATTTGCAGTAGACTTGGTTACCCTACCCAAGAACATGTAAAATCATTAGCTGATGAATATCAACCATACCTTTGTACATTTACCGCATCAATTCTTGTTATATGCAAACCTATCTCTACCATGAATCGTTTCTCAGTCCATAAGATGATTGTCGTAACGCAACCTTCGTAAATTGCGCCAATTATTCGCACTGAACATTCCATCTTTAAGAAAACAATGAATCTTGTGAAATGTTTCAGTAACTGTATACCGTTTTCAGAAAAAAATATGTTGCTAATCTTAACATTTTGATCTTGCCTGTAAATTGGCATGTCTCTTGTAACATGTTTGTTATTTGAGAATAAATTATTATTATTATTATTATTATTAATATGTGTGAATAGCGCTGCTACTTATAAATGTAAGTTTTGAGAGATGTTCTTCTGATATTAATGGATCTTTACAGATTAGTGAGGTTAATAGTCGATAATGGAAACTCAAGTTCAAAAAACATTTGAAAAGATGGAGGCATTAACAGGAAATAACACTTTTCAGCTTGCAAGGCTCTGTGGTAGGAGTCTTGGTTGTGACGATGAATTTTGTGAAAAGCTGATTGCTAATTTTGCTGTATCTGTGACTGAGGAGTTTAAACTTCTCATGTGAATTGATGGTATTACCATCAAGCAATCTTATATTGTTTAAATTATGACCACTACTTATGAATGAGAAAGGCCTTATGCCTTCCCGGTGATTCAGGCGGATATTCGTGTGTATATTCATACAAATGCATGGAGGTATGTGTTATGGTTGGTTGTTTATCTGAAAGATGATGCGGATCTGATTATATAATAAATTATAGCTGGGGAAGAGTCAGCTCGACATCACTTATCGAGAGATTGAGGACTTATCACACCCGGAACACTGGAGGCGTGGAGAACACATCGCCTTCTTGGATATAATCTCAGAAAGTGCCTGGGCAAAATGATGACGCTAATGAAATTAGAAGCCTCTGTAAATAAGTTATAACACTTTGAAATATATTTGTGTTTCTTTACTTTAAATTTAAATAACTTATTTAACTGACAGAGTCATTTGAAAAACTACGAACTGTTGATACCTTCGTATATTTATTATCGTTGCGCTTACACGATTGTGTACGTTTGACATTCGGTTATACACAACGCGCTTCTTTATTCTGCTGACTTTAATGTTAGTCGCTTAAATAATTCATTGAACCATTCATTTCCCAATATTTATTTGTACATTTAAATCCCATTCATTTGTTCCCCGGCAGTCGCATATTGTTTCACTTTTGCTTCATATGCTTGTAATTTTGTGGTCTTCACCTCCTGGTATTTGTCTTCTGAATTTTATTCACTGCCGGGAGTTGTCTAGTAGCAGTTACCGAGAGGAGCGGTATACAAAGTTTGGGAATTATGTCGAATATCCACCGTTAAGTAGTTGACGTAGAACTAGGTGTCTGTGTCCATGTTAACTTGAGTGAACTTCTATGGGATAAAAAGCACTTGAGTAATGATACTGCTATTCGTATCAACGTCCTCGATATCATGGTTAATCCAGGAATTCTTTTCCTGGGAAAATCGAGATGTATTACGACATAGAAATAACTAGTTGGTTTTTACAGTTGGCAATGTTCAGATCTAAAATTACTTTCGGCTTTGCTGAACCTTATTCAGTTTGTTCAAAATATGGTGCGCACGAAAGAGGTAAGGTGTTGGTTTTGTCTACCAGTAGTGTGGTTATCAAGATAATGAAATTGTAATTACGAATGTTGATTATCTTGATGATAGGTAGATGAATATTAATCATAATAACAAAATTTATTTCAAATCATCATGTGTCGGAGGGCATATTCAAGGTAATAATTCGCGACATGGTTCTTGATACCCTATCAATATATTCTTGGTTTTGACTATTCGGCTGAAACAATCTGGAACAGGAGGTTCAACGAGTTTGTTTAGAGCACAAATGTTATTGGACTGCGAGAAAGAAACCAGGAAAGGTGATTTAGTAGTGATATGTTGAGACTTGTACGTAAAAAATAAGTGGCTATTAGGTATAGTAGGCTTCAAAACTTGTCTGCTGCCATGATTCGCGCATATCGTTAACCTGTCTGTATCATTTTACTCTGACAGTCTCATACTATTTGCTTTACCAAAATTAACTTATACAATTGTTTAGCTTTCGCAGCTTTCGTTTCTCTTTAGGCTTAGAATTTTATTCTTATTCCATTCACTACAGCCATTTGATTTCCTTCCCGGTAATTCAATATTTACTGGCATCCAGAAATTTTATCATCCTAAGAAAAAGTCTCTCACTGAAACTACGAGACATACAAGTTCATAATTAACTGACAAACTGACTAGAATTGACATATTTCAGTAGCTTTAAAACCACCTATTGGATATTGTCAGATATATGGAGCTATACTGAAACATCAGGAATTAGACGCACAGAATTTAGTCCGCTCATACTGGCTCGTGAAAAAGATATCGGATACTTAGTAAACCCGTATTCCCAAACCGATTATCATGTCCCTCATGGACAAGCTGTGTCTGGTGCAAGCTCTGAGACTTGTTAGTCGTTAATACTGCCATTGCCTTACGTCACCAACTTAATCCATCTCACTTATTATCTCTGTTTCCTATTCTTTGCAGACACTTCTGTCCTCTAGCACAATCTTCACTACCAACTGGTAAACTCAGCTGTCTATTTATTTGCTTAGTTCTGAAATCTTATTAGGATTGGACTTTTCCCCTTATTATTCTTCACATTGCTACTAACTGGTCTCCAATCTGGTAGTGTGATAGCTGCTGGTATCCAGAAACCTTACTGCACTGAAACAAACGCATTCATTGAAATCACGAGACTTTCAAACTCACAGGCAACTGCAAACTGACTAGAATTAGTGCCGTTGAGTGTCTAGACCCCGATTCATCGAAAAATACCAAATACCTGGAACCCTACTGGAATATAAGTAACTGAACGTGAAGTGATCGATTAGTTTATACTAGTTTGTGAAAAAGATATTGGACATTGTTTACAGTAAAAATCAACTCTTAGTTAGAATATTGGATATTGGCGGTGTGTTCGACCCAAGGACGTTTGTTTTTGGATAGAGAAAAAGAGTTTACAATCATTGCAGACTTTTGTTTTGTGTCTGTTGTTAGAAAATGGGTAATAAATATAGTCTAATTTTTTTGTTTCATTTTAGATGGTTGTCTAGAACGTATGCCATTCGTTTCTCTTATTGCATTTATCTTGGTCGCATGTGGTTCAGGGATTATGTGCGCAACGAACTTCGAAGCTCTTAAACGCATTGACGATTTTTTCGAGAGCAGATTTTATCCGATAGATGAGTAAGATAGCTGTAGCGATTTATGCAGGGCGATTCTTAGTGTAGTTCATATTATTTGTTACCTGTGTTATTTGATTAACCTTCACGAAGTCATTATCAAAATCTATGTAATTAAATTAATTAATTTTCAGGAACTACGCAAGTTTTGTCAATAGTTTTATCAGACTCAAGTTACTTAGGCATTTTCTCTTCCGTAGGTCTTATCTTTTGTCTGACCTCCTACCAACAAAACCGAAGCTGTTAGTAACGTCGTTCAACGCATTTTATTAATCCTTATACATCACCAATCTTAGAATTTCAATGTGAATTTTGGATGTTTATCGTACCAATGTTGTCTTTTCTTCTACTACTCCGTGACTTGCCTTAGCAATTTCCCTGTGCTAGTGGGATACGTATGAAGCTCTACATTGCGCTTGAATGATTTGCACCTTGCATTTCTTAGCCTCATCGTCTTGAAGCTCGAGTCTTCAATTAATTGCGAAACAGCCTAGAAAATCTACTCTTTACGTTAACAGTCCGATTGGTATGTAAAATAATTCATGAAGTATTTGTCACCAAACCACTTCATTGTGCTCTATAATTTTGTCATTGAAATTAAGATTATGAATTTCAATGATTTCTTTTGTTGTCATAAATGTATATGATTGCTTATTTAGTACTGTTGTGGAAGGTCATATTGATGCTTGCATGTATATCTGCGGGAAATTGATATAAACTAGCAAAGCTTGAGTGATCATTTAACATTGTTTTCTGTAATCTTGAGTCAGTCTATTGAACTTTATTGTTTTTTTTTTAATCAGACCGAAAATATTTCGAACACTGGGAATACTTATCTGCGTTTTAACTATGATGTTCGGCATCACAAACGTTGCCGTAGGAGTAGTCACAACGGGCGACATGCGTTCAAAATTCTATCCCAACAAACGTTGTATTATGTGTGGTCGTCATTTTTCACGGTTTGTAAGTTATATGTTCGCGTGCTGTTTTGTAGTTTACTTACCTTCAATATACATTTCTTTTCCGGAATTTTCGCACCTTTTTGGTCGATTCTGCCAATATATTTATTCTAAGGTCCATGAACAAGGAATTTTATTAACCTATCGAATGTTACGATTTTCAAACTTCCGTAGTATTTTTCTTTTCCATAGTAATCTGGCCTTCATCTTTTTGTGCGGCCTTATTCTGTTTACATACATTCATCTTTTGAATTCTGATAAACTTCCTGGAAGGGAAATAACGAAATCTTCGCAACTGTCACCCTCCACTGGTGTATGTTGGAGACTACCGAATGCTCGTAGTTTGTCATTTGGCGGTTGCGAACGTCAGTTTAGTACCTACAGACAAATCGGCGATCAACTGGGATCCTATAAACCGTACTAGGTGTTATGCAGCATCATATTATAATGTCGTTGTTAGTCTGTCTTGGCGCAGTCGACTCTCAAGTTTACGCATTATTCACCACATTATGACCTTGAGAGCTCAATTACAACCAGTGTCAAACAGAACAAAATGAGATCACTGTTTTCAAGCTTTGTCATTCATAGTATTGAAATTGCTGACCACACTTCCGCGGTTTGTGTGGTGTTAAGTTGGCAAATTAATTAGTATTAATAATTTAAGTTTTAACTTTATGAGTATCATTTATGTCTGCTACGACTTTTTTTGTCAATTTAATTTATGTAGTTGTTGGGGTTGGCCTATTTGGCTACATTCGTTTGGCTTCTTGTTTTCGTCACTTTGTCTGTGCCGGTCTTTCTCTGGGTGATGGTACATATTGTATGTAAAGAAGAGACAGATTACTGGCGTAGTTTTAGTGCAAACAAAGATGAGAGAGATTTTACGTATACATTTAATCTCACACATTATGGTATGTTTTCATTCGTAGAGTTAATTTAGCACAACATTGATTATTATGTGTAATTCGATGCCCAATTTTGTTAAATTTGTGTACATATCCAAATTAATGAGGGAAGAATTTCATCCAACTTATTAAAGGTTCTAAACTTTACCTATGTAACAACAAAAGATTTATCTTTCACGTCTTAAATTAATTAGAAATTGGTCGCATGCAAATAAACCAAAGTATATTTCATTTCTAATCATGTTTATTTTATTTGTAACCATGAATCGATCAATTTTAGACCACCATTAGAAACCTGGAAGCACTGGATGGCCGTTTCGTCCTGGTATGGGACTCATCAGCAATGCGCATCCACGATGTTTATTTTGTTGTATACTTGTTTAAATGAAAGGAAATTTCATTTCATCAAAATATTCAGTGTATTTGTGTACACATTTATTCATTTCTCCCCGATCACTGCTTATTCAAAGACTGTCTGTAAATGTGAAAAGTCAGTGTATTTAGGTTTGTGTATGATTGATTATCAGTCACTGATGTCATTTCATTTTGGGTCTTTAGTTGATCGAAATTCCGTTCATCGTTTCAAATCGTTTCAATCCGTGCTTGTAAACATCTAAAAACCGGGTCACTAATAAATAATCTATTTAGAAATCAAACCATAAGCAACATTTGGCATTTGCTAATTGATTTCTTGAAATATGTTCTGTGAATTAATTTCTTCATTCGTTTGAGAAACTTTGGCAGACCATATGAGCTAGTGTCGAACGACATCACTACTCGGATACACAAGGTTTGTTTGGGATTTTCTAAATCACGTCATCTGTAATACCCGTAGTAAAAACAACTTCTTAGTAAAAAAATAGCGATCTGCTGTATGTTACGACACGAAAGTGAGTCTTTGATAACAAAAAGTAACAGTAAGCTGCAGGTATTCGACGGTGAATTACTTAAAGATACTTGTAATGTAACAGATGAGTGAACAATGTTAAATTTAAGCCGAAGTTTCTGGATGAGAAAGAAGACAAGTTGTTCCTCTGGAGTGTAGATTTAGTTTGATTGGGCTAGTCGGTTCATACGTCTTACATTTATAATCACTAAGTTTTGCGTGCTATTAATACAGTGGGTATAAAAGCATTCAATACATCCGTTTTATCAAATTGATGATGGGATAGTTTCAAACAGATCTACACACCCAATTATAATTTGTGGTCGCATATATATTTTATCAGTTAAAAATGGATACTTTGGAAATAATACTTGATCGATATGTGCAAACTCAAATGGGAATTATCAGTGTTTTCGAGAAAACTGTTTTTTTAATAATGTTAACAATGGGCAATGTTTAAATGTTTTGAAATTTCATTCCGACTAGTCTGCTGATCTAACCAGGTTGAGTGAAGTCCGAAATTGTTGTGAGAAAAATGCCTCAAATGAATCAAATCCTATTTAGAACTCTGATGCTAATTTGTCAGATGTGGTTTGGTCTAATGATTCCTTTATTTCTAGTGAAATTCAAATTTAAAAGTGAGGAACAAGTTCCAAATGAGTTACAATCTGATTACAGTTCTGATGATGTAGAATCAGATGTCATCTGTCTGCATAATCGATTAACTTCTACCTAAATGTTTAATCAGTGTAGCAGATATGTCCCTAATAAACAAAGTCCTGGTCACATTCTTAGTACTATTATGGCAGACGTCCAATATTCTCACAACCCATTTATATATCGATTAGAATTTTTAATGAGTGATGTGATCAGTCAGAAGGCTTAGCAAGTTTGTCTGAAGTAGCCAGAGAACCAGTATGCCTTGATATAAGGATTAAAATGATCGAAAAATTAAATCAAGTCTAAAATTATCTTGATGGGTTTCAGGCTAGTACCCATGTCTCATTCAAATGTGTTGCAAACGTATCAAGTCTTAATCACTCATATGTCAACTGGAACAATGATCTCTTTTTTTCATATGAAAGGTGAGAAGAGGATCATGTCCCATATTTTTTATGGAAGGCAAAATCATGTAATCAAACGATCCGAATTTCATATCACTGTACATGTCCGAACTTCCAGACAATCGAAGTGTAAGATATGAAATAGTGCAAATTAATGAGGCCATATTGATCATGACAATGCAGTACAATGACCCCACATTGCTTCGTGGGGTGGGAGGTATATGTATGCACTGCCAAGACGGATAACTATGGTGTCAGAATGCTGATCCACTTTTTCTAAATTAATATGAGACGAAAACTGCATGAAAAGTTGGGGGTGGGGCGGAAAATGATGTGTGCTAGTGAGAGGCGAATATGATTGGTCATCGGACATGGACAAACAGGCATAGCCTACTGACTTTTCAATATGTGATTTCATTTCCTCATATTGATTTCCTCTTAGGACTTAGTGTGTGACTGCTTGTAATTGTGTCAGTTAGTCAGATGCAACGTAGAACTTCGTACGTAAGTACATCAGTTCATGTCGCCATACCACATCAGCACAGAGATGTAATTGTCAATTCAAATCCAATAGTAGAAGAGGTAGTAAAGGTATTAGAAGTAATCGGAGAGGTTAGGATTAGAAGATACTATTCAAGAAGTATGATTCAGTGAGAAAAGTTTAGAGAGTCGAAACTAGAGGTGTTGAAGAATCCAGAAGATTAGGATTTGAGAGAACACAAAGAATAAATGCACCGGCGCCATTGCGAACGATTTTGAGCGGTGTCATTCAAGGTCTCTAACCATCGATGATTATCATCTCGCGGACCCCAACCAGGTAGTCGACAATTACCGACATGGCTCAGTCCACTAGTCAATGACTTCATGGATTTGTGCCATGTTTTGGTTTGGCCGCCCCTAACTTTCTTCCAACCTATTCCTACACTACAAAACAAAGCTCGATGGGGCAGTCGGTGGTTAGGCATACGCAACACATGTCCCAACCACCTCAACTGATGAAGTTTCACCACTTCATCTATTGGTCTGCCATTCTTACCTAGTACCCGTTTCCTAATAACAGCGTTGCTCACTCAGGTGTCTTGTAATTGTGTGGAACAAAACCTGCATATTGTTTACTTTAGTCCTCTATTTTGGTCCTGAATCATGTCTCCCTTTACAGTGTACTGTTCAAGTATCCAATTAAGTGGTAATGTAAACTCAGTCACTATTTAGTCGTAGTCGAAATAAGGACACCTAATACATCCCTTGTACCAGCTATAATCATTGTTATAGAATTTAGTAAAGACCCAAGAGTTTTTATTGCCAATACGCGTTGTATAGGATAATCGATATGCAGGAAGTCAACTTTTTATAAATCTATCTGTGTTATGAATCAGTTTCTGACCATTAATGGATATCCATAAGCTGTTTATTTTGAACACAAAATGGTTAGTTAACTTCATCTTATGCATATTATGCACACATCATATTGTGATTCGTGGTAGAAATCTCCATATTTTTCTTTTCAGTATTATTATATTATGGTGAAATTAATGAAATAATACTGGGTTCAAGATTGTAATTCAACTAAAGATACATGTTTAAATAAAACATAATAAAGATATTTTACAAGAAAGTGTGTATTGATTCGCTACCTGTTAATTCAAAGAAAGAAATATTATGGGCTTACAGGAAAGTAGATGTACACTAGTGACTAGATTTAAATATCACAAGGGCATTCCAATAATGACCTGTATTTACAAATCAAGTATTTTCATCCAATAAAACCTACCTTTCTCCGAATGGCAGACAATCTCTGACCTAATAAACTGATATTGTATCGTTATTTGTTTATGACTTTTTCATAAGCATGTAATGAAAAATGGTTCATGGGGTTATGTATGTAGACTTTATTTCTTAACATTTTTTTGGGACTTTTTATCATCCATCGGTACTGAATGTACATTGAGTGTTCAAATAAACAGCATAAATATTATTTTTATTTTAGGCCTTTATCGTAGACCTTTAGATACTAGCCTATGGAGTGAATACGTTAATTCACCAAGTGCATTTACACATTTATGTCAACAGGTAAATCATTTTAAAAAAAATATAAAACCATTATCTCTATATATTTTACATTTGTTCGTTACAAAAAATTGCATGAAATCTTTTAAATTTTAATAATAAACTAATTGATCAAATAGATGTAGGGGTCTGCTTTTGAACTTTAAGTCACATATTTCTTACGAGGCCGAATGGTAATTTTTGAATACTCGTGAGGAATTAGTAGTTCTGTAACCGTAACATTATTTATATTTTGTAGATCTATGCATAAATGATCTATTCTTATCTGATGGATTGTCCTTTTAAAATGATAACCAAACATTCACTGTAGTGTCCAAATCTAACGCTGTGTTGGTTATTTAGATAAGTAAAATTATTATTTGGATGATATAATTACGGAATTTATATCCTAATTTCAGATCTCTACAATTGGACCATTGTTTGCAAGCGCTTTAATCGCTAGTTTCTTAGTGATTATTGGTTTGGTGAGTTGCGTCATTTTTTTTTCATGGTTTGTTAGTTTTATGCCTCCACTAAAATCTTCGTTTTCATCAAGGACAATTTTAATGTACATTATCAAGTCCTGTTACTTTGCATGCAATCCTTCAGTTAGTTAGAGATCAGTTATATTTATCTTGAAAATATTTGATGTTTCGAAATTAATTTCTTGAAATTTTCACCGGTCATGGAGCTCTGGATTATGTCAGACTTTCAGACCTGTTTGTGATTAGTCGTGATCATCAAGACTACTGGCGATAGCCAGTTTATTCTTCTTTTCAAAACCATATTCCTTGGTATAATTTTCCGATTTTGCTAGATGTGTTTTGTAAGCAAAGTACTATTTCCACGTATGGATCCATGAGAATTAATTACACAAGACGCTGCGTTTCGGTTCATTAAGTGTATTGGGACGGATAGAAACAATACTTGACTAGTGGAATTAAATATATTTCTTCTGAAACTGAACGTAGTATTGTTTTCAATCTTTGTAATTTCCTAAAACCCGACCTTAGTCCTCATTTGAAAAGTTATGACGTTTGTATGTGGGTGATAAGTTAATATCTTTAATGTTGCCGTCCGCTGGAAAAGTATATTGCTGGCTAGGAAGTCACGATTTCTATAAATTCCCAATGTCTTGTCAGCTAAAAAACCTTTAAGTCACTACATGAACAGTCTATTCGAATAAAAGGATATAAATAACACAAGAAAGCTGTCGTCTTCATTACAACTCTCTTTTATTTTGTCCAGCGGCCTGCATTTCGAAATTTCCTAATAGTTTACTTTGTTCGAAGTATCGCAAAGAAAATTAATACCAATCAAATGGATTTCTGAGTTTATATCAAAACAGTATCAATTTCCGAGGAAAAGACGTTTAGGTTAGTTTCAGAATTTCAGGAAACTATAAAAGTTCCCAGACCTTACTTCCCGCATGCATTATTCTTAAAATTCATACGACACATCCAGTTCTCTATGTTCTCAAGCGCCTACACTGGCAATGAGTTTATCAATCCTTTGTTAAGTCTTCATTAAAAGTTGCCTTTACTTCCTTATAGAATACTTCTATTGCCTGTCTGTCTACGGCTTCTGTGAGACTGCAGTATTTTTCAGAAATTGACCGCTATCGTAAATTAGTCAACTCATCACCTCAAACAGATCCTACTTGCTTAGAAGAATACTCTCTCCAACCTTTGTTACAACAACCCATGTCCATACAGTCTGCTGGTTCATGTATTAAATCCAACACTTTACAATTCCCTCACGACAATTTAAATACTCTGTCACCATTCATGAATTCTACACCAACAGGTATGGGTCTCATTTCTAATCCCAACATTTACAATGAATCACAAATGTCTCAGCAGTTTTATTCTCATCGACCTATAAGGCATTCTACTTATTCACATCAATCAAATATTTTAAATCATAATTACTAATCAACAAATTGCATTTGTAAAGTATCTCATTTTACGTTTTTTTTTCTTTTTCCAAAGCAATAATACAATCAAAAGCTTTTCAATTTATGCTAATTTATTAAATGTTCACAACTATCCGGTATTTATATTTGTTCATATATAATCAATCTATCTACAGAATTGTACTTTATAAATAAATCTCAGGTTCTCAGTTGCATTCCATGTGTATTTTGTCTGTGTTTTATTCGATTTGTTTTTGTAAGCTTTGTATATATATATGTTTACCTATTTTTATTCAATAGCTTATTGTTTTTTCTGTTGTTATATTTTTTGCTTAGAAATCATTTCTTTTTTTTTTTAAAAAAAAACCATTCCCGTTTAGCATGAATCATGAAACTTATGCAACATTTTTAGTTTCATTAAAATTAAAAAAAACAAACAATAATACATTCTCATCTTGTGTGACGTTTCTCTTTTTGTGCACCATATTCTCTTATTACTACTTACTTACTTATGAACTGTAACTTCATTGATACCAAGTATTATTGACTTGGAATAAATATTCGTTTATCGTTTGTTGTTGAAATTTTGATATAAAAAGTTGTTACTTCAGTAGTTTAAGGTAATAGGATTGGTAATATATTATCGACTAACTGAAATTACATATACCTATTAAAAGAGTGATTTAACGTCGTATTGATCATTTGAGATAGTAAATAATATGGAGACCTTGAATGACATGGTTCAAAATCGTTTGCAATGGCACAAGTGCATCCATTTTTTGCGCTCTCTCGAATCCTAATCTTCTGCATTCGTCAGCACATCTACCTTTGTCTTTCTAACTTTATCTCACTGAATTATACTTCTTGAATAATATCTTCGAACCCCAGTCTTCTACATTATCATTAATACCTCTACTATCGCTATCACTATAGGATTTGATTTGACATTTGCGTCTCTGTGTTAATGTGGTATGGCAACATGAACTTATGTACATACGTACGAAGTTCTACATTGCAACTGACTGACTATGGAGACTTTTTGTGTCAACATAATTTTGTTGTACAGCTGAACCACAACTACCAATGATGCTGTTAAACTAAGTTACTGTCAAAAAGATCAGCTGGATAGCATAACAACCAGGAGATACTGTAGTACAAGTAAGTAGTGACAATGCAGTGTTTTAGTTTGGCAATGTTCTCACATTTTCTTTGAAAGGAATTACGAGGATATTTTCCCTAATGACCACGTGCTATTTTACCTTGCTTCTGTACATTGTACTATGACTCTTCAAGTAAGAGACGATCACTAATTGTTACCGAGTGTTTCGGTCATTCATTACTGAGTTGTTTTGTATTCTAGATGTTTCTGTGACGTGAACAGCCGGGACGGATAACTCAGGATAATTTCAACAATGAAATGCCCCTACTACCTATCAGTCATATATTTTTTTTCAATACATCCAACTACGCCATTCACATCAGGTTCTCCAAAAGTTTTTAATGTACAACCATTGTTATTATCAAGTTTGGTTACAAATGTGTTGTTTTGGGGATATACCATGTACGAATAGTTATTGACCTGTTAACTTTATATCATTCACACTGACATCAATTTGGAGGTGATTCTTTTGTTACCAAGCTCCCGTGTTCTATCATGAAGATGGCTAAGGATGTGCATTACTGAACAGCTAATGGTTTGAAAAGCAACTGTTGGGTGGATTTTAGTCCTAATCCATTTTCTCTGAAGAGTTGTCTAGCAAGATAAACCGGAAATTTTATCTTGCTTGGATCGAAGAGACCTTTATTTGGTATACTAAGTGTATTCAATAATGGATGTCCACTTTCGACGTAAACTTTTGGCGCCTTCCTTTCCAACCTCACTAGTTTGAAATCTAGAGGAAGTATTCATGGATTGATTACACAGTACTTAGTTTAATAAGAATCGGGTCAGTTGGTTCAGGTGCTTAAGAGAGGATAACTCTAGGGAACTTTAATCCTAAGGTAGTTGGAATCTAAATTCCGTACTTTATTTGTCCTCGTATCATGCGAGCCATGCACACCATTAGTTTGAAACTAGGATGTACCCTTCCTACTCACCACCTTAGTTTACGCATCCAACGTCCACTTCTCTACTGGTTTCGTGAAAGCAAACCCACTGCGTTAAGAAACTGAACAGAACATTTACCGAGGAGACTATAAACGTGCAGTCATATAAGAATACTTAGACGGAAAGCAGGCTATCTTCACTCTGTTATAATCAAGTCAATTGATGGTTAATTTATTCGTAACTACGGTATAATAAAGAAAAAAGCATTCACAACTTCTTCAACCTAAAATAAAGATAATATAAAGTAACTTATTAACAATGACAACGAATTTCAAGTAAAAAGCAGTATATTTCTCAAAATATTTTTCATAAGCAAACAAATAATTCTGTTTGTAATGAATATTTTAGTAGGAAAAGTGTTTTTTTTCATATGGAAAATATTACAGGTCATTATTCGTTTGTCTATCAGTACATCTGACAACCACGTGTCAAATGATTTAAATAACATAGCGTAAAATCAAAACACGACTAAAAGTGCGAAGACACAATACACTAAGGCGCATGGATATGCTACAAGGATGCGTTGATGTTGCATACCCAAAGTGCAAACAAACAATTTACTAGAAGCGATTGTACACCATGAAACGACAGTCACTGTCAATATGACACCTAGTATACTTCTGGGATAAAAATGAAATAAGAGATGCATGTTATTTTCGTGTGGTAAATATAGAACAAATATATATATATATATATATATATATATATATAATTCAAAAGAAGGTTGTTTACTATTGTTAAAATTTAAATCCTATACCTGATATTGCCGTACTCAAACAATCGATGTGATAACAATTGGAAGAAAAGAATTTACAGCAGTTGATTGAAAGAGCTGTCACAAATATACAAATACATGTTAGTTCACATAGGGGGAAATAAAAACCCATATACAGAATAAGTGCATCATAATCCAGACGAGATTAGATTGACTATTCTTATCACTAACGTTTATAAATCAAACTGTTAGGTGGTGGTTGGAGGTAGTTGACAGGAAACCCTGAACCTAGGCTACTTAGCACTCGCCATCAAAATGTACCTGCAATCTTCCATAGATCAAGCTGCAACGTAGTCACTAGTTGAAATGACTCAAAATCGGATGCACTATGTTGAAATGTAAGGTAGTTGTGTCAAATAGTATGAAACTTAGGTCTAGAATTTCTTTTCGACTAACTCCAACCACCACTTTACATAATACTATAGTGCACACTATGTCGAGTCACCTGGATTAACGGCTATGCTACAATTCGATCAGCAACAAGAACAGCCTGATATTGGTTACCACTGTGATTAATCTGTTGTAAACAAATCCGACTTTTTGAGCAGAAGTTACGTAAGTATGAAAAAGAAATCAATTAGTATATTCTTGTTGTGGAGATGAGATGTCTATAGATCTTCCAAACAAGCTGAAGTAGGAAATGTATTGACAATAACATCTATTGCTCTGAGTGGTGGGTAGAAAAATGTGATCGGTGAACGTGGGTAGAAGTGGTTCAGGAATTATTTTAAATTATGAAGAAAGTTTTATTAAATGTAGATGCTAATAAAGCATAGTCTATTGAATATCATGATCAGACATCATGTTTTCACATTATCCTCACTCATCAATGTACAATGCATATTATCGTTAAAAGAAAATAAAACTTACTTAAGTGAAAATAAAATTCCAACTGCAGATAGAAGACACATAGGAAGTAGACAATATCCTAGTGTTGAAATAACACAAGTTGGTGTAACTCCTCTAGGCGTCATAACTGATAATAGAAGGTAAATGCCTAGACAACCAAATACACCTAATCCATAAATATAATTGAAGTGAATTTTTCCAGCCTATGGTAGGTAGTAAGGTAATTGATAAAAAAAAGAGAAAAAAAGAAATATCAATACAATAATTAAAACAACTGCAATCAAATCACTTCAAAGAAGAAAAAAGAACACTAACAATTAACATTTCCCGACCGTAGCTGCTACCTTGACGTGGTGGTCGGACTTGCCTATCGTGATGACCCAACCGAGCTATGCTGGCTGGAACATATGTTCCTGCAGGTCCTACCATGCCAGGCAGGTCGATTGGAGAACGATGAGACTAAAAGCAGCTACTCAAGGTCTGAGGGCGAAGTCGCACTGCTGACTGCAGAGGGGTGTGACAACAGTAAGGTGTTTCCCTCGGACAACCAGCATCTGCAGCGATGCTGCCTTCTCACAAGGAAGGAAGGGTTAGAAAAGGTCGACCCTAAAAATGTCACACCTCACCCTACCTCACGGATTTCCGTCTCCGGCGGTAAGGGTGCCCACTAAGAGCCTTTAAGAGCGGGGCTAATACTCAAAAAATCCTTTCATAATGAGGCCGAGTGTGATCGGCCTCAAGCAGTTGTCGCTTGGACTCTGCGGTCACACTCCTAGGTTTCTAAGACCAACGCTAATCTATCTTCCTTTTCAGGTCCCTCAAGAAACAACCTCCCACGGTGTGGGCAGCCGGGAAGTGACAACCGCCCTCATACCCTTAACAATTAACATTTACATGTTCAAAACTCACAAACATTAAAGTACAGCCAAATAGTAGACAAAAAACCAACGGTCCAGCTAAATCTGTATCATCAAGTACTTCTTGAGAACTTTCTTTAAAAGGAATGAGCACAGATGATGTCTGAGAGATAAAAAAAAATAGGAATATCGGAAAAACTATGTTGTAGGGCAATGTGCTATAATCTATAGATGATTTTTACAAAGCAGATGGATATTTCAAATTTTATATTCATTAGATAACATTAAATTTGTGAGATATAAGTGAGGGAAAAGAAATACCACTTTTAGTGTTAGTTCATTTTGAGTTGGGGGATATTTCGTTCTGTATTTCATAAGGAAATGGAACAATGATAGTATTTCTTGCATTCTCTTTGTTACTGATACTTGACTAACTGACGTTGATTTCTTTAGAGTGGTGACAAAATAACCACCGATTATATATATATATATATATATATGTATTCTCAGATGATTGATTCACGTTACCCATTGTGAATACACTCCTAGTCATAATATAAAATTACATAAGCTAATGTTGTTTATTGAGTGTCGATCAACAAAAATGCACTTAAATGAAATTAACACTTTTACGATTAACAATAAATACTTGTTTGAATATTGGAAAAAAAACAAACTATTTACCTTTTGGACAATATGACTAAAGTTAATACCGAGTTCTGAAACACAATAAAATAACCAATGTTAAATAATTATCATATGGTAATACAATTCAATATTATTTTCCTTCACTAAAACGATAACTTATGGTAGAATCATAAATAACTCTACGTGTATTTACATATGATGAAAAGTTGTCTATAAGTCCTTAGGTACTCTTCATATGAAACTCGTGTGTTGTAACGGGTATGAGGGCGGATATCACTTCCCGGCTGCCCATACCGTGCAAGGATGTTTCTTGAGGGACCTGGTCTTAGAGACCTGGGAGCGTGACCGTAGAGTCCAAGCAACAACTGATTGAGGCCGATCACGCTCGGCCTTTTTATGAAGGATTTTTTGAGTATTAGCTCCGCTCTTGACAGCCCTTAGTGGGCACACTAACCGACGGAGACGGATATCCGTGAGTTAGGATGAGGTGTGACATTTTCACGACCGATCTTTTCTAACCCTTACTTCCTTCCTTGTGAGAAGGCAGCATCGCCGCACATGCTGGTTGTCCGAAGGAAACACCTTACTGTTGTCACAACCCTATGCAGTCAGCAGTACGACTTCGCCCTCAGACCTTCAGTAGCTGCTTTTAGTCTCATCGTTCTCCAATCGACCTGCCTGGCATGGTAGGACCTACAAGAACATATGTTCCAGCCAATATAGCTCGGTTGAGTCATAACGATAAGCGAGCCTTACCACCACGTCAAGGTAGCCGCTACCGTCGGGTCATGTAAAACTGCATTATTAAGCTTTGCAATAACGCAGGTGCATTCATTCTTTGTGTTCTGTCAATTCCTAAACTTCAGAGTACCTCATCAGTTTATCTTTTTAAGTTTATTTCACTAGATTCTACTTCCTGAATAATATCTTCTAACCCTAATCTCACCGATAACTGCTAAAACCTTAATTACCTCTAGTATTATGGGATTCGAACTGACAATTACATCTCTATGCTAACATGCTATGGCAAGTGGGACTGATGTACGATCGTATGTACGAGGTTCTACGTTGTTGTCGATTGATTGATTGCATTATTAAGTTACATTACTAATTGAATTGAATCTCATCCAATAGCACACAAATTACTAGATGATCAAGAAGTTGATGTGATGATGAATAGATTCAGTTGATAAATATTATCTAACTATTCAAAAATATGGACCGATGGAATACAACTCAAATGTCTGATGATATATATGATAGTTGCCACAGAACCTGAGCGTGTAAAGTAAGCAAAAAAAACAATGTTCTAATAAGCATTGCTTAGCCATCTCAGTTTATTGTTTTAGTAATTAGGCTGATTTATTCAAAGCGTATCCTTTTTATTTGTTTTACCAACTGTTCATTGCTAAATAAAAAAGTTATTGTAATGTATGAAGTTCTCATGAGATTTACGGTGAATACATATTCCCGATAAAATTATCAGTATGAATGGATTTCGCTTTTAGTATTTACATATTTGGCGAAATATCATTTGCTTTCTTTTATTAAAGTATACTAAGGATAACCGATATTCAGTTATCTTACACAGAGTAATACTTTGAAAATTAGAATATAATAACTATTTGTAAATTGACTGTACGGAACGAAGATCAATGATGCAGTGACACGATAGAACAAGAAGACTTGATAAGACGTAGAGTAAGTATTCTACAAGCACCCATAAAACACGAGGATGTTAAGCACTCAACTCAAGCTTATTTATACAATGATGAAAACACCATTGGTGAGAATCAAAAAATATTGTACCAAAATATTCAACCAACCAAAACAGTCAAGAATTGGTAGAGTGTGTATTTGTGAGCTATAGGTCAACTAAGCGTCTCTTGGAGCAAAATTGAAAAATTTCGAAATGTCAAGAATAGATTACAAAGCTAGGATATTTTCTAACTGACATCTGGGGATCTAACATCCTAAACACAAACTAAGCATTCTGGTTAGTATTTATGCCGGATGCGTGAGTGGACTGTTTCAGTTATAACTATTATTACTGCATTTAAATAGTACTGCTTGATGTGTTCGAGTTACCAGTCACAATCATTCAATTCGATAATCTAGGACTACAAATACAGCTATGCTTTATAAACATATTATTACTGTGTATGGAAATATACATATATATATATATATATATAAACAGCGTAGGCACAAAATTCACGATAGCGTTCCACATACAAGTAATGACTTTTAGATGTAATGCTTATGAAAGCTGTAGCAAAGTAAAGCAATTCGTTCTTTGAATAATAATAATAAAAGATATTTCATTCTTGCCTTCTAACAGCGGTGGTTCATTTTCGTAATCCTCTTCTTTTCCTTCATACATTGTACCAGTAGAATACGGCACTTGTGAGAAAGGAAGATTGGCGGCTTGTGGTGGTATTGGATTGACATTTTCATATGAAAATTGACTAAATTGCCTAAGGAAGCATGAGAAAACAAACAACGCTGCCGTACAGTCGAGTAATTTAGGTACGATGAAGACAAACAAATTCACCAGATAAAGTGCATTGCGTAAGTTAAAGAAATAGAGAAAAGTGTGTGAAACTAGTGACATATGTACTATCAGGTAAATACACAAGTATAGGACGTGATAAAAACTATGGAATTTAATGTATAGATTGTACCGAAATGTCCGCATAAAGCATTGTATTTGATATAACTTTCCATACTAACAGTTAATTTGTAATGACAGAGCCGCACATGAACAATCTTCTCATCTCTGCAGTTTCAGCTGGTCTATCTCAAGATTTAGGGAAGCATATGTGCCTTCCAACTCCGAAACCAAACAAGTATTTCTTCACCTTGAGGTAGTGCTTGATTCTTTAGATAAAATGGGGCATTATAAAAGCGTCTATCATTGAAAAGACTATCGAAGAAATGAATTAACCATGTACAGGCTCTCTACTCGAACAATACTGGTCGAGTCAGAACTTATGACGGACTGTCATCGCAAGTGATGTTCGTCATGGTGGTCCACTTTCTCCATTCTTATTTAACTTTATCATCGACTTGCTTTTAGAGACGACACTTTCATAGTCTACTTGTTAGTGTAAAAAACTGTAGATAGGATGAAGATAACCAAAATCACCAGATAAAGGGGATTGCGTAAGTTAGGGTCAACCTTTTCGAAAACTATCCTTACGTTGTGTGAAGGCAGCCTCGTCGCAGATGCTGGTTGTTCGTAGATACCCTGCTACCATTACACCTCTCAAGAGTCCACAGTACGACTTTGCCCTAGGACTTGAATTTGCTGATTTTAGTCTTACTGTCCTCCAATAGACCGAACATAGCAGGAACTAAAGGAACGTGTGTTTAGACCAATTTAGCTCGGTTTACTCATCAAGACAGGTAAGTTCGTTCACCACGTCAAGGTGGAAGCTATGGTGGGGACGGGTGAATAAAATTTTATACATAATATTCCACATTACGGAGTACCTGAAAAGATGGGCATTGCATGAGGAATGCTGGAAGACTTACTTACACCTTATTTCTCTGACTAGCCGATGTGATTGAATTATTCGGAACCTATAGATACTTCGGCACTACTATTAACACATGGAAAAGTAAAATCTTGAAATATGGTACAGCAGATTGCTCTAAGTCAGCCAGTCGTCAACAACGTAGAACTTCGTACGTGCGTACACCAGTTCGAGATGCCATACTACGATAGCACAGAGACGAAATTGTCGATTTAAATCCCACAGCGGTAGTAGAGGTATGAGCAGTAATCAGAAAGATTAGGGGTCGAAGATATTATTCAAGAAGTATAATTCAGTGAGATAAAGATACACGAGAAGCGGGATTCGGAAGACTAGAATTTAGAACACAAAGAGTGGATGCACCTGCGCAAATGCAAACGGTTTTGCGCCATGTCTTACAGGGTCTTTAACCATCCGTTACTAACGTCTTGCGGACACCAACTAGGTAGTGGTGGTGGAGATAGTAGAAGAATTAGAGATAATGGAGAAATATTAGGGATCGAAGATGTTAATCAATTATAGTCATTATCATCAACAACAACGTAGAACTTTACACGTAAGTACAGCAGTTCAAGTTACCATACCACATTTGCACAGAGATATAATTGTCAATTTAAATCCCATAGTAGTAGAGGTAGTAAAAGTATTAGAAGTAATCGGAGAGATTAGGGTTTGCGGATCTTATTCAAGAAGTATAATTCAGTGAGATAAATTTAGAAAAAGAAAGATAGAGGTGATGACTGACAGACAGATACAACGCAGAACTTTGTACGTAAGTACATCAGTTCAGGTTGCCATACCACATCAGCACAGAGACGCAACTGTCAGTTCAAATCCAAGAGTGATAGCGATAGTAGAAGTATTAGCAGTAATGGAGAAGATTAAGGTTCGAAGATATGATTTGAGAAGTATAATTCAGTGAGACAAACGTAGAAGGAGAAAGACAGAGATTATGAGGAATTCAGAAGGTTAGAATTTCATAGAACACAAAGAATAAATGCACGTGCGCCATTGCAAACGGTTTTGAGCCATGTCATTCAGGATCTCTAACCAGAGATTATTATCATCTCGCGGACCCGAACCAGGTAGTCGACATCTACCCACATGACTCAGTCCACTTGTCAGTGACTTCACGCATTTCTGCCATGTTTTGGTCTGGCCGCCCCTAGCTTTCTTCCAACACACTCATACACTACAAAACATCGCTTGTAGAGGCAGTTGGTAGTTAGGCATTCGTAAACACCTCAACTGATGAAGTTTCACTACTTCATCAATTGATCTGCCATCCATACCTAAGACTCCTTTCCTAGCTATAGCTTAATCGGCTGTCCCAGGGCAGATGAGCAATGCTTCAAAGATATCTATAATCGAATACTAATAACCTACGAATATCCTCAACTCTTACCGGCCATGTTTCGAATCCATATGGTAGGACAGAGCGAACTACTGCGCAGTAAATCGTCCTTTGGTTAGCAGATGGATATCTCGCCTTTGCCATAGGAGTCACAAGTTGGCAAAAACCAATAAAGTTTTCTGTATCCGTGCCGAGATTTCGTCAGTCACCAGGCCATCGGCACTGATAAGACTCTAGTCAGTTAGTCAGTTGCAACGTAGAACTTTACGTATGTACATAAGTGCATGTTGCCATACCACACTAGCACAGAGACGCAAATGTCGAATCAAATCCCATAGTGATAAAGATAGTACAGGTATTAATGGTACTGAAGAGAAAAAATTTAACGAGCTTAATGTTAACTCTAAGAGGATGTCTACGACAAAGTTAAACAAGAATGGAGAGAGTGGACAACCCTGACAGACACCACTTGATGTAGAGAATTCCGGTGACAGTTCGCCATAAGCTCTAACTCGACCTGTAGTGTTCGAGTAGAGAGCTTGTATAAGGTTAATGTACTTCTTTGGTACACCTTTCAATGACAGACACTGCCACAGAACCTCACGACCCACTGAGTCAAATGCCGCCTTAAGGTCCAGGAAGACAACTATTGTAGGACGCCTAAATGTGTGTCTTTGTAGCAGGACCTGTCGTAGTACGAAGATGTAATCTATACAGCCACGTCGAGGACGAAAACCAGACTGGTTTTCTCGAGTCTGCTCTTCACGAGCACTAGAGCTTATGGCAAACTGTCATCGGAATCGGATGACCACTTTCCCTATCCTTGTTCAATCCTGTTATAAACATCCTCCTAGATATAAAATTATCTTCGTCTGAATTTTCAGGAGTGGACCTTTTACCAGGAGGCTCGCTTATTGACTTAGAATATGCCGATGACGTGTCTTTTGGGAGTTAGCTCCGCTCTTAAAAGCCCTTAGTGGGCACCTTACCGCCGGAGATCCATGAGGTTGGGTGAGGTGTGAAATTTTTAGTGTCGTCCTTTACCAACCCTTTCCTACCACGTGAGAAGGCAGCACCGCTGCAGATGCTGGTTGTCCGAGGGAAATGCCATACTGCTGTCACACCTTTATACAGTCAGCAGTACGACTTCGCCCTCACACCTTGAATGGCTGATTTTAGTATCATCGTTCTGCAATCGACCTGCTTGGCATGGAAGAACCTACAGGAACATAAGTTCCAGCCAGTATAGCTTCGTAGGGTCATCGCGATAAGCGAGCCCGACCACCACGTCAAGGTAACAGCTGCGGTCGAGTACACCTACCGACATGGGTTAGTCCACTTATCAGTGATTTCATGTATTTGTGCTATGTTTTGATCTGGTCGTCTTGCTCCTACACCACAGCAGATCGCTCTCGAAAATGTAAAAGCCTTCACCTACCCGGTAAACATAAACGATAAACAGGGAGGAGTTGATGCAGATATGAAGGCACGAACTAGTAAAACAAAGGCAGCATTCTTATAATAGAAGAACCTCCGGGATTCAGAGAGATTATTGCCTAACACTACAGTCAAAATTTCCAACACCAATATTAAAACGGTTTTATTGTGAGAAACTGAAACTAAGAGAATGGAAACCTCAACCGTCGAGCATAAGTGTTAAGAAAAAGGTATTTCCTCAAGACACTTGTGGTCTACTGACCAGAGATTATCAACAACAAACTACTGTGGCACAGAGCAAGCTAAAGGCTAAATGACCACGGAATCAAGAAAAGACACAAGCGGTGAATAGGATACAATAAAAACCACCAAACTAAATCACGAAGTCCTAGAATCACTAACCAGTAAAGAAGAGGCAGACCAAGAATACAAGACACCATAAGCTGTTGGGTAGACATTAGGACCATGAATGCCAATTCACAACATTCGGAAAAAGCGAAGGAAAGAGTTGTCCGAAGATCCGTTGTCAGCAACCAACACCTCAGGAGGCGTTACAGATTTACGCGCATGAATTGTAACAATTTTGATCGATGTAATACTGTAGCGTATAACTCATTAATCAGTCTACCATATCATTCAACAAACATTACGTACATACGGAAAATATCCTTAATAAGAATAACAGAGTAGAATATCTATGACTTACATTTCGGATGGATTGTAGTACCCTGTTTGCTGGGATGAACTGGGATGATAAATATTGGCATAACCTTCGTAATTCATGATGTAGTAAATTTAATTTGTTGAGTCGGTTAAATTTTTGATAAGCACCTCTAGTTATCAGTTTTCTCAGGGATTAGATTTCGTCTGAGGAGGGTATTACAAAAACAGCATTTAAGTATTGATACAAGATTCAGATTTAGTTAGTTACTCGTCATGGGTCCTAATTTAGCCAACCTTGAACCCATTTTCGGTTCAAGCATTTGTATACTATTGTTAGTGGTTATGAATATTGTTTTTAGTTAGGTGAGTAAAAGCTTCAATGGCCTGACGAGAACCTATCACAAGCACTTCTCATTGGGAAGGTAAGTAGACAATTTATCTGTCCTGAATTGTTAAAAACAGCGATTTGTAGTTGTCCACATTTAAAAGCCTCATTTTACACCTTATAGAAACACTTGAATGGCTTGACTACTACTAATTTGATCCGGTTCGAAGGAATGTGGTATCAGCAATAGACGACATGAATATGATATGTCGAAGAATCGAATGCTGATCATATTGGAGTTCCAAACCAACAAAATCAGTCAAGGTCTTACTTAAGGTTAGAAACTAACCAGTTTGAATATTTTCATATCTTAAGTGTACAGCAGACCTTATTCAACTAAGGAGGTATTTTACTCTTCTAAACACGGTTGATAGAAGTTCAACTGTCTTCAAACGTATAAGAAACATTTATCGTCCATTAATAAAATAAGTGTATTGAAAGAACCACATATTGAAAAGTGAGATGTTAGTAATTGAGTCGAAAATGGACAAATATGAAAACAAGCTTACCGTAAGATGACACGAGCGACAACCAATATTACCGATGCCGCGCAGACCTTCGTAATCAAGGTCAAATGATCCAATTAGTTGTGGGCAGAATATATCCAATATATCCAGTATCTTTTTCACTAGCTAGTGTAAACCAATTGATTTCTTTGCACTCGATTCTTGTTCTTTCGGTACGGTTCCAGGTGTTCGGTAATGTCCAATGAATGAGTGTCTAGCCATTAGACTGTCTAATTCTAGTCAGTTGGCAGTTAGTTGTGAGTTTGTATGTCTCGGGATTTGAGTGAAAACGTTTGTTTCAGGCATAGTTAGCTTCTTTGTCTAGCGACGGTGGATCAAAGACGCCTTTCTATAGAGATGAGTTTTTTGACTTCCATAATAACTCCTCTCACATCATGGGAGATTGTGACTTTCATCGCGCATACGTCTTATTCTCACATCCTCGCATTTCTGCGCTTATGAGCCATATTGTGCACGACATTATAATACTTACTGCTTGTCTTCATTTCATGCTACCCATTTTCCATATTATTGACTGTTATTAGTACATGATTAGTTTTATGCCTAACTTTTCTGACTAGCTTCGTTTTCCTGCTTCTCATTTTAAATTTTCAGTGTACCTAATAGCAATTGTCTTTTTTACGAGCTAATATAAACCAGTTGGTTTCTTTGAGCTCGATTCTTGTTCTTTCGGTGCGGTTCCAGGTGTTTGTGAATTCGTAGTAGACTTCTTCGTACTGCTGTTGCCCAAACAGAGTCAGCCTAAGAGTATTATATGAGGTTAGATAAAAGATTTATTTTCATCATATATTATGCCGTTTATTGAAGTCGGAGTCAGATCTCAGACCACAAAACCCACAAGGATTGTACAGGACTTATAGTTCACTAGGTATTCAAGTGGATACTCTGATGTCTGTAGGACGCTGTGAATAGTCAAAAGGTTTGTACTTGATACGGTGCTTCAAAATGTTGTTCATATGCTCTGGATTCAGTCTTTAGTGATGAATCCCATCAGTCAATTATATGCAGTATAGAACCTGACAAATAGGCCGGTTGGTTCAATTTGCAACACATCGTTAGAGTGGCAAGGATGAAGTTGTCTGGAAAAGTTGTGGTGAAGTGACGGTAATGACAGCAACAGTGACGGCGATACCATAGATACGCAGAATCTTGAAGCCCCGTTGTCAGAACCCCTTTGCACTAAGTGACTGTATGGCCTATAAAAACAGAGATAAAAGATGAGAACATATATTTGAACTAGTTGTTTGTGCTGAAGTTTACGCAATCTAACCTATGCATCGCATTCAGTCAGTGATAATTTCAGTTTAGCTAATAAAGTTTGCGTTGGGGTTGAAAATTTATATAGCTGTTCCTTTAGGGAATTTGTGAACAACCTAAATAATCAAAGAAATGAAGTACTAGTCATGCATTAGTACAATTGAAGTAGATCAGGAATTTCGGATCTGTGATGAAGATAAAATGTAAATGCATATGAGCCATCAAAAACTGCTGAAGGACATGCCCCTCATAGCCTGTATTTATCAGTCAAGATTGTCTCGCCGACCCTAATCAGTTAGAAGCAACTCACCAATATCTTCTACTGTTACTGACCATGTTTCACACGCACATATTATGAAGAATCGAAAAGTTGCACAGTAAACTGTTTCTTTGGGTAGCAACAGGATATATCTACTACGTCACAAATGACGCCAGGTGGTAATATCGTCCGAATATTTTAAGTCAGCAAGATAATCTCTTGGTAGAAGATCCGACGAAGAGAATATTGTCTCTAAAAGCATGTCGATGATAAAGTTAAATAAGAATGGAGAAAGTGGACCACCATGACGAACATCACTTGCGATGACAGTCCGTCATAAGTTCTGACTCGACCAGTATTGTTCGAGTAGAGAGCCTGTACATGGTTAATTTATTTCTTCGATAGTCTTTTCAATGATAGACGCTTTTATAATGCCCCATTTTATCTAAAGAATCAAGCACTACCTCAAGGTGAAGAAATACTTGTTTGGTTTCGGAGTTGGAAGGCACATATGCTTCCCTAAATCTTGAGATAGACCAGCTGAAACTGCAGAGATGAGAAGATTGTTCATGTGCGGCTCTGTCATTACAAATTAACTGTTAGTATAGAAATTTATATCAAATACAATGCTTTATGCGGACATTTCGGTACAATCTATACATTAAATTCCATAGTTTTTATCACGTCCTATACTTGTGTATTTACCTGATAGTACATATGTCACTAGTTTCACACACTTTTCTCTATTTCTTTAACTTACGCAATGCACTTTATCTGGTGAATTTGTTTGTCTTCATCGTACCTAAATTACTCGACTGTACGGCAGCGTTGTTTGTTTTCTCATGCTTCCTTAGGCAATTTAGTCAATTTTCATATGAAAATGTCAATCCAATACCACCACAAGCCGCCAATCTTCCTTTCTCACAAGTGCCGTATTCTACTGGTACAATGTATGAAGGAAAAGAAGAGGATTACGAAAATGAACCACCGCTGTTAGAAGGCAAGAATGAAATATCTTTTATTATTATTATTCAAAGAACGAATTGCTTTACTTTGCTACAGCTTTCATAAGCATTACATCTAAAAGTCATTACTTGTATGTGGAACGCTATCGTGAATTTTGTGCCTACGCTGTTTATATATATATATATATATATATATATATATATATATATATATATATATATATATATTTCCATACACAGTAATAATATGTTTATAAAGCATAGCTGTATTTGTAGTCCTAGATTATCGAATTAAATGATTGTGACTGGTAACTCGAACACATCAAGCAGTACTATTTAAATGCAGTAATAATAGTTATAACTGAAACAGTCCACTCACGCATCCGGCATAAATACTAACCAGAATGCTTAGTTTGTGTTTGGATGTTAGATCCCCAGATGTTAGTTAGAAAATGTCCTAACTTTGTAATCTATTTTTGACATTTCGAAATTTTTCAATTTTGTTCCAAGAGACGCTTAGTTGACCTATAGCTCACAAATACACACTCTACCAATCCTTGACTGTTTTGGTTGGTTGATTATTTTGGTACACCATTTTTTGATTCTCACCAATGGTGTTTCCACCATTGTATAAATACGCTTGAGTTGAGTGCTTAACATCCTCGTGTTTTCTGGGTGCTTGTAGAATACATACTCTACGTCTTATCAAGACTTGTTGCTCTATCGTTTCACTGCATCATTGATCTGCGTTCCGTACAGTCAATTTACAAGTAGCTATATCCTAATTTTCAAAGTATTACTCTGTGTAAGATAATTGAATATCGGTTATCCTTAGTAAACTTTAATAAAAGAAAGTAAATGATGTTTCACCAAATATGTAAATACTTAAAGCGAAATCCATTCATACTGATAATTTTATCGGGAATATGTATTCACCGTAAATCTCATGAAAACTTCATACATTACAATAACTTTTTTATTTAGCAATGAACAGTTGATAAAACAAATAAAAAGGATACGGTTTGAATAAATCAGCCTAATTACTAAAACAATAAACTGAAATGGTTAAGCAATGCTTATTAGAACATTGTTTTTTTGCTTACTTTACACGCTCAGGTTCTGTGGCAACTATCATATATATCATCAGACATTTGAGTTGTATTCCATCGGTCCATATTTTTGAGTAGTTAGATAATATTTATCAACTGAATCTTTTCATCATCACATCAACATGTCTAACTTCTTGACCGTCTAGTAATTGTGTGCTATTGGATGAGATTCAATTCAACTAGTAATGTAACTTAATAATGCAATCAATCAATCAACAGCAACGTAGAACTTCGTACGTACGTCCGTATGTACGTACATCAGTACCACTTGCCATAGCATATTAGCATAGAGATGTAATTGTCAGTTCAAATCCCATAATACTAGGGGTAATTAAGGTTTTAGCAGTTATCGGTGAGATAAGGGTTGGAAGATATTATTTAAGAAGTAGAATCTAGTGAAATAAACTTAGAAAGATAAACTGATGAGGTACTCTGAAGTTTAGGAATTGACAGAACACAAAGAATGAATGCACCTGCGCCATTGCGAAACTTAATAATGCAGTTTTACATGACCCGACGGTAGCTGCTACCTTGACGTGGTGGTTGGGTTTGCCTATCGTGATGACCCGACCGAGCTATATTGGCTGGAACATATGTTCTTGTAGGTCCTACCATGCCATGCAAGTCGAATGGAGAACTTTAAATTAGTTTAGTCGGCTGTCGTATTTACAGCGACAAATCGTAAAAAACATTCAAGAACGTATAAACAACCCACTGGTCTTAATATCGCATTTTGACACATGTTTTTCATCGCTGATTCATGTATATTAGTTTTGCAAGTGGATAATCATCTTTTCATCTATTTTAATACCTCCTCCTCATTCTCTTACATTTAGAGATATGCTGATTGTTGTTTGTTACTAAAATCATGAATCAATTATTGCTAGATCACCATGGAAATAAACAAGGAGGAACTGATAGAAGGCCGTTTCCAGCTGGTGACTGCGAGCATACACGGCTCCTACCACTCACAGAATTCCAACCTATAAACCTAAGGTCTCGCGCAGGAATGTCTAACATCTGAATCACTGAGCCGACATCCACCAGTGCCAATGTTTAACTGTGATCAATTTTACGGTTTCGCGCGACCTCACGCATTCGTCCTCGGAAGTTGCTATCTACATCTGACAGGGTTGTACTCCACTGATCACGTCTACTCATTACTATCGACTCAACAATTAGTCTGGTATATCATTACTATTACCCTTTAACTTTCAATCCTATTCGAAGCCTAAGTAGTCAGTAAAGTATTAGGAATGAATTGTTCTGTTGTCACAATATTGACTGAAACTCAATTAACCTCAACAAATTCAGCTTACATGTTCAACATTCTAGTGAGAGCAATGTTTTCTTTATTCTGCGTAAACGCTTATGTCAACGCAGTTCATACGAAATGCACATATATGCGAACCAAAATCGATCACATCATCAGAGTTATTTAATACGCCAAGGTTATATTAAATTTAG